TGAAAAGAGGAGCCCCAAGACTAGGGCCAGTGCCTGAGCAGGGAAAGTGTACAGAAGTTCCATGCACTACATTGAATAAGTTTGATACTGTAGTAAAAGCTGTGTTAACCAGCATTTTACTAACTGAAATAATCTATTAACCAGAATCTCTGGCATGTGCATCAAGTATTTCTTGAGCAGGACTGGGCGGGGGAGGCAAAGGCAGCAGCTCCCCTCTGCAGTCTGCAGAGATGCTGCCTGGCTGGCAGGACATGGGGTGGGTGGGGGAGAAGAGGAGGAGCTTGCATGCCACCACCATCCTGCGCCAACGCCACGTGCAAGTCCAGAAAACTGGAATCCCCCTTACCCTACTCATGCCAGATAACACAACTTTTACTGTACATAGATCCAAGTTTATCTTAAACCGGGTTCTGCAATTTTTAGACCAGTTTGTGTGCATGGAACTTGTGTACAGTTACAGGTTTAGACTGACTGCTGGTTACTGAGACTGGGTCTATAATTGTAAGGTCAGCACCAGGACAAGCTAAGTTTAAACCAGGCAGCCATTTTGAACCTGATTTAACCTTCCCAAATGTCTGTATTTAGCTTGGGAGTGAGGTGATTACTTCTCTGCTTCCCCCATGGGAGAGAAGCCTGTCAGTGAACCTGATCACTGATAGCCTGCCCAGTTCCACATGGTGGAAGCAACAAGCTCTACTGCTACCACAAGCAGAGCTGCAGAGCCCAACCTTGGCCAGGGTGCATCTCTTGTTTTGCTCAATGGAGTGAATCAGTTGTGCCAGGGCACATCCCAGCACAACTGATCTGCTTTGTCTGGCCACTCCTATTTCTAACCTATATTACATATGACTACAGAGAAATTCCTGAAAATTCAAACAGATATAACATCTGTCTAAGGCCTCCGACTATTAATGTGTGTTTAATATGAAAGATAAATAATGTTCAAATGGTGACATTTTTACAGAACTACCATAACATGGGATCTTTTTACCAGCTATTACACTGAATCAGATAGCAAAGAAAAGGGTCACACCCAAATAACTTCACTATTCAACATATACAGCAGTATGCACCTCTTTTCACACAATGCTAGTAAGTCTTAAGATTGAAAAAATCTTCAAATTATCTGCTTACTTTATCTGAACAGACTCAATAGCCATTAAAAATGTTTTATATATATTAAGTACAGTATTATAAAGCATTCAAAATACATTTGAAATCTTGAACTTAAAAATAAAAATATTTTTCTCTAATATGGAAGATCTAAGCATCCCATACCAGGCTTTGGATAAGGAAGAAACTCCCCCTTAAAGTACTCTCTCTCCAAAACATGAACAAAAAGAACTCCAGCCGAAGGATATACATTCCGATCTGAGTGCACCTTAGAGAGAATCGTGTACACTGAAAAGCAGAGGGAAAGATAAGAGACAGAAAAAGCAAAAAGTGAGACATGCTCTAGATAATACAGCATGCATTTCAATGGAATTGTTCATTTCTGTGAAAAGGAAGCAACATTTTATTAGATACCTGTTAATAAGATTTTTTGAAAAGGATATGCAGGGTTTAAGAACAGAACGCAGAACAGTTTCACTCTCTACCCTTCATAGATCCTACAACTCTTGTCCACAATTCCGGTGAACAAAATCAGACCATTTAAAAGTATATCCACTGTGCACTGATATTTATTATAATAATAAATAACAAAGAAGCCAATGAGTCATTTTGATAACTTGTTTATTTACAGAAATACAGAGGAGTTTTTCAAATATATTAGGAACAAGGGAATATTA